CGTCTCTGGGGGTCCAAGAAAACGTACCAAAAAAAACCCCATGCGTATCTGGTTTCTAGCAAAGCGTTGACGTAAATTAAAAGATTATCCACTTATTTGCCCTAATAAAGCTCTGAAAGGAGCTGGTGAGCTTGGTTTAGCATCACGAATAGAAACAGGAAGAATCAGCTAGCTTGGCAACCAATGATTCTGTTATGTTAATCTCCCTGGCTATGATTCAACCTAGTTTTGGATAAAAACTGTTGCAAATGTTAGTGTTTCTGTCTGTTACAGAGTGAGACAGACACATGAAGCCATGTGTAAGACAGTCTTTATTCTCTGCCTGAGCTTTGGGTTAGGGCCTCCTACTCCCTCCAACAGTTTACCCATCCGAAATGTGGCCGTCATGCTAATAGCTTACTGGAGGGATTCAGCTCCAGGTCTGTTAACCACCCGGGGCAGCGGGGATGAGGTGCAGTCTGAGGCTGGAGAGTTATTAAATGTTCTCTTAGGGTTTGTTGGAAATATGGAAATGTCGTAAGGGCTGGGAATGATAGTGAAACAAGGACTGCATTAACTAGGCTACGGCGAATGGAAATGGACAAAGCAGAAGAGAAAGAGTTCATAATCTTAAGAGGCTTCAATCAGTCTTCATATTATTCTGTCTTTTCTCAAAGATTACGAGGTCCAGCTTATCTACTTAAACAAATACAGACAACAGATCCAGCCGACAGCTCAAAACGGAAATGAAAACGAAAAGCCAGCCTCGTGCAGCAGGAAAACAATAAAACTAAAGCGGTGGTGTCAGTCTGTGTGCCTTTAAACTCTCAATCTTGATTCTCGCTCTTGATGTGAACAACTTCAAAACACACATTTTTCAAACATTTAATAGCAGCCTGTTTTGACCAGCATGTCCTCTTTCACCTCCTCTAAATAAACAACTAAATCTGAATCTCAAATGAAATGCAAATAACCCTGGAAAAAATACAAATGAGTTGCAACCAGTCAATCAGTGACTGAAACAGCACTCATCCCAGAGAGGGACAAGAGTGTCAGATGATACAGACTCGCACACACACACAGTGGTAAACTCTGGACAGTGTGTGAACCACAGCTGCTTAAGGGGAGGATGTGAGGTTCAGCCGCCTGTGGAGGACTTACTGATGAGTCGAACACAGGAGAATTAGGGTTGACTGCGTTTGTGAGCACCAATCAAAGGCAGACAGGAGGAGGCAGATGTACAGGCTCCTCATTAAACACAAGATTTTTTTCCCCCTTCCCCTTCTGCTCTGCCAAGACGAGGCTAGCCTGCTTAGTGATGATGAGGCTCTCTGCCAAACCCCGAAACAATCACCAGACACAGAGCTGTATATACTTCACCAGGAATATCTAACTCTTTTGCCCTCTTATTCATAATTAACTCACTTTCACCTCTTCTGACAAACTCCAACTTCTTCAAATTTTCTTTGCAGTGTGCTTCAACAGTTCCCCTTTAGCAGAGGTCATCAGGTCAATATTACCGTGGCATAAAGGAAAAATACTGAAGAGGAACTCGTCTAGATGGACAGAATAACTTTAGATTAAGAAATGAACCCCGGTTCTCTGAAACATGAGTGAGGTATCTCACTATGGGACACGCCCCTTGCGCTGTCCCCAGAAGCAATATTATATTACGCCAGTCTTGACTGGCAGTCTGTTCTCCAGAGGAGGGACTTCCTCCTCTTATAAAAGCACGACGTAACGTCAGTTCTTCAGTCTTGGCAAACACACCTCTTCCTCGCTCCAGGCAAGGAGGGTGGTCTGGTGAGATACCTTACTCATGTTTCAGAGAACCGGGGTTAATTTCTTAACCTAAACTTCTCTTTCAACATTTGTTTCGGTATCTCACTATGGGATATAGAGACTCCCGTATTGCCAGACAGGCTTACCTCGAAGACCGGTAAAGATAGTTAAACAAGCATATTATGCGCGCTTACGCTCAGCACTGAATGAGACAGTGTGTCCCAGGGGGCAGTCAAGTTTCTAGACACTGGCCTAAGGCGTCGCGCTCCTTTCATAAATTGAAATATGAGAGGATGTTGACCTACCGTTTTATCACCAAAGCCTATGTGACAAGCCGATATTGCGGCTAAATACACTTTGACAGTGGAGAAGGCCAATCCCTTATCCAGCAGCTACTGACGGAATGTCAAAACATCCGACAACGAACTCTGGAAGGCAACCCCCGGCTTTTACGCACCAGTCATCAAACACACGCCATTTGCCATCATAAGCACAAGATGTAGATGATGCTCTGGCGCCATGAATAGTTGCAATTACGCTTTGCGGAAGCCCTGTAGCAGTTAAATTTAACCTTCCACGGGCCAAGCTCACAGAGCCATGCGCTCTGGGGAGGGATGGAAGATCTCTCCGCGTGCCTGTGACAGGAGATCCCTGCGGAAAGGCAGAGGCCACGGAGGTCCCCAAAGCATTTGAAATATCTCCGCTATTTGTTCTAACAGTGTTTCCCCGCCCAGCGGGGAGGTACCAGAGTCAGAGAGAGACCCCATTCCTGCACTCTGGCGAGAGTAGGAGTGACCAGCTCTAATGGGGGAAAAGCGTATAGGAGAACATGCAGCCACTCGTGCGCTAAAGCATCCAGTCCCATTGGAGCATGATGACCGGTCAGGGAATAAAACAGCGGGCACTGAGTGTTTTCCTCTGATGCAAAGAGGTTTATCTCCGCTCGACCGTACATTGTCCATATCTGAGCCACCACTTTGCTGTGGAGCTTCCAGTCCTTGTAGCAAGGGTTGCCTCTGGACATTAGATCCGCACCTCTGTTCAATATTCCTGGCACATGGGTAGCTCTCAGAGACAACAGGCGAGAGCTGCTCCACATAATCAGTCTGCGTGCTAATGTGTGCAGATGACGTGAGTGCAGTCCCCCTTGTCTGTTTATATACGCCGTCCTGACCAACACATTCTGCCCTCTTCGAAGGGGCAGAAAATGTTTCACAGCCAGAAAGACAGCCTGGAGTTCCAGGTAGTTTATATGAAACATCTGCATCTGTGAGCTACATATAGCGTTCACAATCCTGCCCCATGAGCGGCTCCCCAGCCCGTACGGGAGGCATCCGTGGTAACAACTTTTCTTGTTAGGATCGTTCCCATGGAAACGCCTGTAGTCAGAAAAGCCAAGGAGATCGACACTTGGCGATGGCAGTGGTGCGTGGGGTTCAATCTTAGTGACGCAACCCACTGCTGAAATGGTCTCATGTATAGGCAGGCGAGAGAGATGACAGTTAGTGCCGACGCCATCAATCCCAGCAGCCTGAGACAAAGTTTGAATTTTAGCATTGCCCCTCTGTGAAAAAGTGACAGACAAGCCTGAAAGGCTTTCACCCTTTCCACGGATAGGCGTGCTTTTAGTGTAGCTGAGTCCAGCGACAAGCCTATGAATGTGATGTTTTGAGTTGGGGACAAAACACTCTTTTCCCGGTTTATTGTAAAACCCAGGGCTGCCAGATGTGACGTGAGCAGTCTGATCTGTACCTGAATCTGACGGGGAGACTGTGCCGCCAGAAGCCAGTCGTCTATGTATGTTGCGAGGCGCATTCCCTTTTCCTTCAGGGGTGCAATTGTCGCCTCGATACATTTTACGAATACCCGCGGGCTCAGAGAAAGTCCGAATGGGAGCACCCGGTATCCGTACGTTATGACACGGAAAGCAAATCTTAGATACTTTCTGTTAGGGGGATATATATGGATATGGAAATAGGCGTCCTTTAGATCTATTGAAGCAAACCAGTCTCTATGACGCACAAAGCGCATTAGAGCTGTGTGCGTCAGCATCCTGAACTTGTACTTCCTCATGTACTTGTTCAGAGCGCGCAGATCTAATATCAGCTGCAGACCTCCCCCCTTTTTCGGAACCAGAAAATACCTCAAATAGAAGCTGTTCTGACACTGTTTTAACGGTACTTTCTGAATAGCCCCCTTGTTTAGCAGAGAGGCAATTTCCTCCTGCAAAACTTGAGCTTTTTCTCCCGGTGCAGACAACTGCAGTATCGCTTCTTCTTTGCCCCCAGAGTGACAGGGGCGCTCACCTGGTCCCTTGGCGTCACACTGGTAGCGAAAGGCTTCCCTTTAGCTCAGGCGGTTTGCTCTGGCTTCGGCCGCTTGTCTGAGGATGAGGCTGACGTTTGGGAATGCGATAAGCTGGTCTCGCTACTGCCGTGCTACAGGAATTTGGGAGGGTGGCACTTTTCTGGGGAGACACAGCTGCAGTGCTTCACCCTCCTTTTTCTTTTCCTCGCACCGTTTCTGCATCGTGGCTACCGCTGGGCAAAATAAGCCTTTCGGGTCCACAGGCACATCGAGAAGCTGGGTCTTCTCCTTGTGAGAGAGGCTGGACAGGTTGAGCCATCTCGCTCTCTCCTGAGAGACCATCAGAGCCATAGCTCTCCCGGAGGTCTGTACAGCGCACCTGTGAAGACGCAGGCAGAGGTCCGTAATCATGCACAGTTCATCCCACACTGCCGGGGTAGGTGAGGTTGCCATGTCGTCCTCTAACTCCGCCTGGTAGGCTAATAGACGACGACGATGTGTTCAGGGCCCTCACCGACATTGCCACTGCCTTATAGCCTTTCTCAGTCAGTGATTGGAAACAATTGGCTTTAGAAGGCAGGGAGGGGCTCGCAGAGGTCATGGTGGACTTCTGTGAAGGGTGGAGGTGAGATGCTAACAGAGGCTAAGGGACTCTTCTCCGGAGTCGGAGTATCTATCCTCAACGTCTTCCCGCTCTGCCCTCTGGCTTGCTTCGAGATCGTCGGGGTCGGCTAACGGGGGTACTGCGTCGAGCTGCTCACCCCAGCTAGCGGTAGTGTCCAGAGGGATGGCATCACCCTGGGAGCTCTCTGAAATCTCCTGATGTGGTGGTGTGGATACCCCCATCATAGGATCCTCAGTCAACAGGCTAGCTTGGCGTGCTAGCCTGCGTCGGTGAGTTTTCAGTGAAAAACGAGCACAATGTTCACAAGTAGCCTGGGGTGTCAATGCATCCTGGGCGTTTTGCAGCCCGAGGTACACACTACATACAGAGTGGGTGTCTGTCCGGGCTATCTTGTTACCACATGTTCACAACTTGGCCGGCAGCTCGCCCTTTTTCAATGGTGAGAAAAAGTTTAAGCACCGAGTCTGGAATGCTCCGTCAATAAAAGCTGAGAAGCGAGAAGCAGTTAGTGTGGTGGCTATCTGTGGTAGCTAGTATGGTGGCTAACTGTGGTAGCTAGTATGGTGGCTAACTGTGGCAGCTACTGTTTGGGAACAGACCAGCTACTGGCTCAGTTGACTTGTGCAGCTTAAAGATAGCATTCAGCGACCGAGGGGTTAAATCGCTCTGTGAACAGTTTTAGCTAGCCTGTCAGCTACACCTGCCATCTGAGAGGTTGCTTCTAGGAATAAGAAGAGGTTTAAGATTGAAGAAGTGACGTTACGTCGTGCTTTTATAAGAGGAGGAAGTCCCTCCTCTGGAGAGCAGACGTCACGTCTGTCTGCTGGAAGACAAGCCCCAGAGAGCATGTCGATTGTCGGAGCCACCTGCTACGCCATGTTCATCGGCCATGCAACTGCACTCATCCAGTCTCTGGACTCCTCCAGACGGCAATACCAAGAAAAGGTGAGGATCTATCCTGAGTTCATTTAGGGACATTTATTGCTTCAATGAAGCAGTTAACTGAAACTTAAGACTTATACTTCTGCTTTGAACCTATACACCTTATACAAGCATATACGCAGGTTTGCATAGCCCTGTAGCTACGGAGAAGCCTACGTACATAGCTCAATGTGCACCTCCTCAAAAATGTAACTACGCATCAAAACGACTGATTAGACTGCTGGATAGCATCGTATTTGCTGCATTTAAAATATTTCTGCTATCTGCACTTTTTTCAAATTCTGCAGAAGGGAGAACGCTACAATACAGTATAATCAACTGCTGCTCAATATTCATCAGCTCCAACTCCAACATATTATGTTGGTTTCAGTCACCATGGTTTCATGTACACAAACAATCCGAGAATTTGGCAAAATTGAAAACTGGCTATATAACAACCAAAGAAATCGGACTGCCAACCAGCGTTTGTAGGCAGAGTTTTGCAGAGCTATGCAGACACACCAACAAACAAGTATGTAATACTCATGATGGCGCAGGCCACTAAGTTATGGTGTACATTCGACGCAGATGTATGCACCAGGCTTCTCGCTACCAAGACAACAATCCCTCTCTGTAAACTTTAAGTTGTATATTCTGTGTGTGCTGGATCAGGCTTCCTGAAAAGAGATACTGCTGATTATTGGCCATAATTTTTTGAAAATAGGGCGGACCAATACTGTTGTACTGTTGAGTACACTAGTACACAGGCTACTGTTAGCTGATAGAGAAAGATTGATTGTTTTACTGGAGTCTATTTTTGGATCACTGGTGAAATACACCAAAGGGGATAGCCAGAGGCTTACCTTACTCACACCCAGGTGGCCTCTCTGTCTAGCGCCTGGCAAGATGCCATGAAGAGATTTAATCACCAGTGCTTGTCCTCTGAAACAGTGTGGATAAGGTTATCAGATTTGATATAAACAGAGGAGGTTTGCACTTTTGATTCCAACACTCTTTGATAGGAACAGCATCTGTTCCATTAGTTCAATATTCATGGCTACAGCTCGCTGGGCCTCAGCCTGTTTGTCATCTGCGTAAAACAGCAGATCAAAGCTTCTGGTGTCTGCAGGCCAGGGAGGGAGCACGCTCCTGCTTTATAAGGTCAGGGTGTCAGCGGTGCTTTTGTTTTGTTAGCTTCCTTAGATCCTGGCTGATGTGGACATGTCTTATGCTATCTATCACTCGAACACATGCATGCAGACACGCACATACACATCAGAGTGATCAGTCAAGCTTTGTTGTTTATTTGGAGCCTCTGGCCAATGTTCAGAACAAAGGCTTATCAGGTTCTCATCAAACTGTTTTCTACATTAGCATGACGTGTTCTTCTTATTTTTGTTCTTGTGAGTCTTGTGGCTCGGTTGTGCATCATGATTGAGAGACCATTTTAGTGATTCATTTTGAGGTCATGATGACAATAAAATTCCATATTAATGATGTGGCATTTAAAACAGACCAACTCTCCTGTGGGAGAAGTTGTGGTGCTATTTAAAAAGTAATGAATCAACTGTATTGATGTACCATATTCACGAGCATGGTAAAAGCAGCAGCGGATGTGTCAGTATAACCAATAGATCGGGGATACACCAACCATATTCACCAAGTATCCTGAATTCTTCATATATCTGGGTATGGTGGATGTGTGCAAGCAACATCTTGATGTTATGTGACTCCAGTTTCACCTCAGTGTTGAAGTGGTTGATTGGCTTTTCCAATTGTTTAAAAACATTGGGAATTTGAAAGAACAAAAAAAGAAGCCGGGGTAATCCATGCAGTGATGATGCTTTTCAGTCAGCAGCCTCAGATCTGCAGACTACCCTGCATACATATCTCTAATTCAGCACCATCTTTGAATATATCAGAAGATTAACTCTCAGGGGTGCTTTGAAACAATCAGTGTTTTCTATTTTTAGCCCATGTATGGTGTTTTATATTCTGTACTGTTTTGTTTTTCGTAAAATTATTTTTACCATTATACGGAGTCCAAAGGTAAAAAACAAAATCAAGACATCAACTTCTGTGCAAAAGTCAATATCTTGTGTGCACAAGATATTAACTTGTGCATAATTAATATATTGTCCATACCATTATATTTCCTGTAAATAACTTTTTTTTTACTTTGAATGGTTTATTGTTATCTTTATCATTTATCCTGCAAAAAGGGTGTGAAGTGAATTTGTCTTTTTTTTTTCCAGAAAGTGCAGCTTGTAATGTGCAGTGAATCTATCCTGGAGTCTGTTCTGTGTCAGTAATGTGTAGCTGCACTCTGTCACTATGGTCTCATTCTCTTCCTCTTTCATGATGCAAACTCATAAAATAATAAACACAGGGGCAACACAACTTATCCAATATGCCGTCTGCTCCGGTGCCTCCTGACTGTTTGTTCTTCATTAACCACTGAACTTGCAGTTCACAATAAGTCATGTCATCAGATAACAGGCTACAGAGCTATGGCTGGAAGTCGCCTCTGGTACAAAACAGATTCTTTGTTTGAGATAGTGTAAATGTTATAGACAGCATGGACTGGTGGTGACATAACACAGAGTAAACAGTTTGTATCAGCGTTAGGACAGAAGTGTCATAATAGCTCACACATTCAGCATCTTCCCCCGGCTGCACAGACTTTAGAGAGTTCTGGAGGTAAAGCATGCTGGTACTTATTCTGCTCTTTGAGGATGAGTCGCTGTGTGTTTCATAGGCAATTGGAGAAACGGATCACAATCGATCTGTGATCTGTCTGGATCAACCTCTATTATTTGACCATAATGTGATCTGCAGATCGATTGAGAATTCATCATCACGGTGCAAAATAAATGTTCTGCCCCTAAATCCCTGTACAGCATTTAAAAGGATAGTTTGAAAATTGGAGATATAGTCCCTTAATGCATGCATACTCTATATCTGGTATTTAGTTTTGGGCAACATGCTCCATGCATTTCTGTATGGAGATGCATTGCGATTCAGTGTGCTGTTAAAATGCACAGTTATGTCATGGCTAAGTTAAGGAGAAGAAATGTTGTATTATAAAGGTTTTTTTTTTTTCATTACACAAATCTGTGATATTATCTGGACCTTGAGGTTTGTGCTCTGTTACTGCTAACATGGTACATTGTTGATGGTCTCGTTTGACTTTTTGGGTTTTGGTCGATGTTCACTCGATATCTACAAATGGTATGTTACTATAGTAAAAGCTCAGGGGACTGGGGCCTTCATAACGTGTTTCTCTACAACACTCCTCCATTCTACATCCCTCCATCCCTCTTCGGCTACATCTGTCCATTTGCCCTTGACTGTTGGGCAATACACCATCTGCCAGTGGATACTGAACATGGACTGAGGGCATTAGCCATTATGTAACTGTGCTCCTGTAACACCTCCTCCATCACTTCCTCCCCCACTAAATCAATAGAGTGAGTGTCTGCGAGGAGGGAGATGTGACCCCATGAGGCTTTTTGGCGGTGAGACCTGGTCCAAAGAGCACTGACGTATCAAATGAAACTCAGGAGACAGTTAGGTGTTGAGCTTTTAACCAAATGTCATAGTTGAAAGCAAGTCAAATACAAGAGTAATACGTGGGTTACTATTTAAAAACTACAACTATAAGTTAAATAGAAAAAAGAAAGGGTCACAACAAACTCAACTGTAATTAAGTCAACTTTTCTAACTTTTGTGTTTTGGCCAAGCCAGCTTTGTGATGGCAAAATGACAGGTGAAAATTTTGAAAATGCACTCTCCACACGTTGCGCTTTCACAATGCCATAATGCAATGTGGATTCACAGGCTGGGACACCAGTATTTGACCGTTGAATCAATATGAACGCACCAAGAAGTTACTCTGGAGGAGCTTCGTTGCAGTGTTGTTGCAGAACTGCACTTTGAAAATGGCTTATAATGCATTTTCAGCCTAATAGTCTCTTAATGAAGATTTTATTGTCTTCAAAGTTATTGTGTCGAGTTTGTTCGACATGTAATTTTGGTCAAAGCTTATTGCTTTTTTTTACACCATTTTCTTATTTTATATAATCAGTGGCGCTGGTAGGATTTAATGTAACTATTCCTGGCATGTAGGACTCTTTTATCTCCAAAGTTCCCATGCGCACATTAGCTATCAAAGTGACTGGACGACAGAGAGAAAAGGCAGCGTACTAACACTAACCAAAACTCAGATTTATCAGAAGTAGCCAGACAACTGGCCTTAAAAAAACAACTGCCTGCTTGATTTTTTCGAGCGGCAACTGTAGTATCATACGATTTTAAAGCTAGTTCAGAGGAGCGTGACGTAAAAGTCGGTATTGAGCTTGAGTCTATCCTGCAACACATTTTGGCCATAACATGTATGCACAGTGCGTACAGGACTGTAATTAATATGTTTTAAAATAGGATATATTTTTAGGTTTCTCAATGCTATCATTGTGACACACATGAAAAAAAAAACACATGTAGTGAGTGCATGCCTGCATACTTGTGTGTGCCTGAAGGGATGATAATGTGTGTATTCCTGTCATCCCTCTTCTGTCAATGAACTAAATAAGTCTGAAGTCAAATTAGGTTCTATACACTAAGGACATAGCACACACACACACATAAAACATACACACACCACACACACACACACACACACACACACACACACACACACAGATATAAGACTTGTCACATCGTGATCCCTGACGTTCAGTGACATGGCCCATTAATACAAGGACCAATTCAATTTCTCCCACTCCTCTGTAGCAGTTTACAGTGACAGCCATGCATCATGCTTGCAAGCCACCAACAAGGGGCTTTATGTCCCATAAAAAATACCCCACACTGCCCTGCCTCCTTAACTAAGTCCACAGGCTGAGAGGAACAGATTGGGTTCTGGAGATGTAGAGACTTGAATGGTAATGGTAAAAATTCAATTTGAGGATTTTGCTCATGTATATGGGTTCTAAATATATATGTATCTGTGCGTGTGTGTGTGT